CACCAATCCGCCATGCCGCCCTCGCTCCGCCTCCTCCTGCTGCTAGCCCTGGCCCTAGCTCTCACCCTCCCGCCCGCCGCGCCGCAGCCGGCGCCCGGGTCGGCGGCGCAGCCGCAGGAGGACGACGCCAAGTGCCTCCGCGGCGTCAAGAGCGACCTCAGGGACCCCGAGGGCCGCCTCTCCTCCTGGACCAGCAACACCTCCGCGGGCGCCGTCTGCGACTTCTCCGGCATCTCCTGCTGGAACCCGCAGGAGTCGCGCATCCTCGCCGTATCCCTCTCCGGCTTCGGCCTCCAGGGCAAAATCCCCCCCGCGCTCCAGTACTGCCGCTCCGCCAACACGCTCGACCTCTCCTCCAACGCGCTCGAGGGCCAGATACCGCCCGCGCTCTGCGACTGGATCCCCTTCGTCGTCAACCTCGACCTCTCCGGCAACCGCCTCACCGGCCCGCTCCCCTCCGAGCTCGCCAACTGCCGCTTCCTCAACTCGCTCAAGCTCAGCGACAACGCCTTCTCCGGCCAGATCCCCGCCTCCCTCGCGCGCCTCGACCGCCTCAAGGCGCTCGACCTCTCCGGGAACCACCTCGAGGGCCAGATCCCGTCCCAGCTCGGCTCTGCCTTCTCCAAGGACTCCTTCTCCGGGAACTCGGGCCTCTGTGGCCACCCTGTGTCCTCGCGCTGCGGCGGCGGACTTGGGGGCACCGGCCTCGGCATCGTTATTGCTGCCGGGGTCTTCGGCGCCGCCGCTTCGCTGCTCCTCGCCTTCTTCTTCTGGCGATGCACCGGGAAGGGCAAGGCTGGCCGCCGCCGCCAGGGCCGCGGGGGAAGCGAGTCGGAGGTTACTGCCGCCGAAGACGGGAGCTGGTGGGCGGAGCGCCTGCGGGCCGCACACAACCGCCTGGCCCCGGTGTCCTTGTTCCAGAAACCGATCGTCAAGGTCAAGCTTGCCGACCTGCTGGCAGCCACACAGGACTTCAGCACAAGCCACATCGTGGTGGCCGGGAGCTCGCGGGCAGGGACCGCATACCGGGCCGTGCTGCGCGACGGGTCTGCGCTGACGGTGAAGCGCCTGCACTCATGCCCTCTCTCAGAGAAGGCGTTCAGGTCGGAGATGGGGCGGATTGGGCAGCTGCGCCACCCCAACATCGTGCCGCTGCTGGGGTTCTGTGTTGTTGAGGAGGAGCGGCTGCTGGTGTACAAGCATATGGAGAGTGGGGCTCTTTCCAAGGTGATGAAGGAGCCAGGGGAGACATTGCTGGATTGGGCGACGCGGCTCAGGATTGCTGTTGGGGCGGCGCGTGGTCTTGCGTGGCTGCACCATGGTTTCCAGATGCCACAGATTCACCAGAACTTGAGCTCAAGCGCGGTGCTTCTCGACGAGGACTATGAGGCTCGGATCACAGATGTTGGGCTCACAAGGCTGGTCCGGATGGCCCCAGGTGAAGGTGGAGATACAAGCCCCTTCCTCAATGGCGACTTCGGGGAGTTTGGGTATGTTGCCCCAGAGTATGCTAGCAATCCAGTTGGTACCATGAAGGGTGATACATATGCTTTTGGGGTCATACTATTGGAGCTCGTGAGCGGGCAGGAGGCTGCCTCTGTGTCAAGTGATGTGGGTGAAGGATTCAAGGGGACATTGGTGGATTGGGTATATCAGCTCAAGAGCACCGGCCGAATCGCCGATGCTGTGGATAAGTCATTGAAGGGCTCTGATGCAGAGATCAGCGAGTTCTTGAAGGTGGCTTTTCAGTGTATTGTGGCTCGGCCAAAGGAGAGGATCTCAATGTACAGGGTTTACCACTCTCTGAAGAGCATTGGAACGGGCCGTGATGTCTCGGAGCAGTTTGACGAATTTCCGCTGGCCTATAACAAGGACGACGCGGACACCTGATGGCTGCGACGCCTCGGATTGTGAACCGCTTGGTCAGGCTTAATACGCTGCTACTTGTGTAGCTCTGGCTGTTGAATTGATCGAGGGCATGCCCAGACATCCGCTGCAAAACCATTATACTGCCGGATAATCCATTCGATCATGGCACCGTATCATGGTGAGATAATCATGTAAGCTGTAAGATTAGTCTGCATTGTCTCTTAAGTGCTAGTGCTTGTAGTATCTTTGTGGAACTGTAATTCTTGTTGTGTCTAAATTCTGATATCACCTTCTTGGAACAACTGGCCTGCTCTGCAGTCCCCTATACAAACGAGACTGGCATTCAAAAAATTGATCGTTTATCAATTTACCTTAATTTTACAGAAATATTTAACTTTGTTTGCATGGCCGTTTTGTAGCACTCTGTTATCTCCTACTCATATATGGTCATTATGTAGCATGCTAATCATCTCATTTACTCCCTCCGGTTCATAGTAAGTGTCGTGGTTCTGTGAATTTGCTTGATGATATCCCCTATCTCATTTGTCTCTTATTATTGTCATCTGTCTCTTATTTCGGATCGGAGGGAGTACCATTTTCTCTTGTGAATTTCCTCGATCATATCCCCTATCTCAATTCTCATGTACTCCCTCCGTCCCAAAATTCTTGTCTTACATTTGTCTAAATATGGATGTATCAAGTCACGTCTTAGTATTAGATACATCCGTATCTAGACAAATCTAAGACAAGAATTTTGGGACGGAGGGAGTATTTCGCGTGCTCTGCGCTACGCACTTTGCTATTGTTGGCAATACTCCAATTTGGGTGCTAATAAAATCCTCCAACATACATTTCCAAGCCATGTGTCTTTGCCCTATACCTTTCAACCTTGGACCATTTACTTGTAGCCTCTGCTCTGTATTCTGAAGACCGATTTTGAAGCATTATAATGTGCAAAAGACATCGTCATCCTGACTTCTAAATTGTATTAGCTCTTCATTTCCCCCTAAACCCGCGTTATCTCCGTTCTTATCTGGCTGGCCCTCCTGCTATATTGTATGCTTTGTTTGATTTGAAAGTCAGCTCTTCGTGAGAGATAACAATAATCAGTTCCACCGCACATCCCATGCCCAGTCTGCATGCATAATTGTCACCATCACGGGCTCTCACATCAGATCAGAGTCCTAAATTTGACCTTTCCTGGCGATAGCGAGCGTTATTCCGCCGGTCTATTGACCAGCAGAAGAGTATAACAGTAGTACTACTTTTAATACTCGGGCGGCCAGAAAGCTTGAAACTGAGAAAACCAACTGTGGGGTGACAGCACCGTATTTCAGCCATTTATTTACCCTTGAGAACGAATCACTGTAGGAAGGTGGGGATGCACAGAGAAGACAGACAGATGTACCATGGCGGCCCTGTTTGAATCCTGTGCTTAGCTGTCGCCTGCAGTTGTTGTATTATTGTACTGTACGTACAAGTCTGTCCAGATTTGCATGTTGCGCATAGAAAAGACAAAATGGCGCAGCTAAACTAACCTAACCCCTCTGCCCAAAGTTTGTCGCGGGAATTGGACTACTGTATGTGTAAAGATGTATTTTGCCTGTGTCTCGGCTAGCCTTTTTACTGCTTGGTAAGTTGCCAATTGCCTGCCTCATATTTATTCCTGCGGCAAATCCGGCCTGATCTCTTTGGATTGAAGGATTTTCATAGGAATATTGGAGGATTCCAATTCATTGGATTTTTTCCTAAAGAAGCCCTTTGGATCAAAGGAACCACACCTCCAAAATTCCTATGGATGCATTCCTACACCTCAATCCTATAGGAATTTCAACATCCACTATAACCTCTTTTTTACACTGATTCGCGTAGGATCGAGGCACTTTTCCTGTGTTTTTCCTGTGTTCCATCCAAATGACCATTCTTGTAGTTTTCCTCTATTTTGTAATCCTCTGTTTTGCACCTACAATCCCGTCAAATTCCTGTGTTTTTTGAATTCCTTTGTTTTCTAATCCTGTGATCCAAAGAAGCCCTGAACCAAGTTCTACTCCTCTCTTAAGTCTGAACTGAACGCCAAGCACAGCTACGAGTTATCTGCTCGTAACTTGTAGTGATGCTACTATTGATTCAGTAGTGTGACCTGGAAGGCTGGAGGTGGTCGGCAGCTGGCATCAGCAGATCGGTCGCAATGATGGCGTGCCTTATCTGTCTGTAGGATACACCAGCGCTGGGCCTCCCCCTACACGGAGGGGGAGGGGGGGCCTGCACGATTCATGAACAGAAGGGTAGCGAAGAACGATGGTCTGATCGAACGATGTGTTTGACCGGCTCCTTAATACTATGTCGCCATGAATGCTGGAACGCCATGGCTGGACGAAGGGAGCCGTGCAGTGCAGAATTTCATGTACGGATACGTTGCAAGTCACGCAATACTCCTTGCATTCCATAATGTAGAGTGTATAGATTTTCTCAAAAGTCAAACATTATAAACTTAAAACATTCGTATTTAAAATACCAAATGCATATCGTTACGATAACTTTGTGCTGAATCGGTGACAGTTAATATGTATCGGAGGGAGTAGGGCATCTTATATAACAGTGAAGACAGGGAGGGAGTAGAAAACGAAAGAGGGAATGGGAATGAAACAGCGGCTGGCGCTGTGCTCGACACAAATACACGGATGAAGACGCCAGCCAGGACAGCAGGAGACCTGGATGTGATGTGCGAGATATTCGTTTGCCAAGTGACGCTTTGCTAGCTAATTGGGAGGAAGATGGAGTGCAGATTCAGACACGAGCGCTGGGATCTGAGGCGAGCACATCGGCCATGTCCCCGTCGTTGACTGACTTACGGTTTTCTTGGTAAGACTAGTTTTTTTTTTTCCTAGGATGATTATTTTTCTGGGCAGCTAAACTGCGAACAAGTCTCCGTCCAAAGGAGCGGAGGATCCTGCCAGCCACTTCTCTGCCGTGCAGTTCCCGCAACTGTAGAAACGTCAAAATCTGAAGCAAAAGACACGGGACGTCTTTTTACTATGCTGGTATATAATCAAAATCGACGGCCACGCGAAGGTTCCAAACGATAGACTTTTAACCCCCCAAAAAAAACAAAGCTTCCAGGTTCTCGGCTTATGCAGAGGAAAAGCTAGCCCAAACCTGTGCAGAAAAGACGTACCGTAACAAAAATACCGGGGCGCACAAGTAACTGAATTTCACAACAGACCAAGGCATCTCACGTATAGTCGAGAGTCACGTATTTAGCAGCACGGAACACAACACATCTACACAGAAACCTACTGTATTTTTCTAGCTAACATACTCATGTCAAATTGCCAGCAAGTTACAAACAAAGGGGCACCGAGCCACTTCAGCGAGCACCTTGGTTCCTCCACACACACACACACACACAGAGCACCTAGCCACTTCATGTCAAATTGCCAGGAAGGTACAAAGGGGCACCTAGCCACTTCAGCGAGCACCTTGGTTCCTCCACACACACAGCAATGCTTCTTTCTGGTACTGGGAGGGTTTGGCGACGAAGGAACCATTTTAATTCCCAGACCAACCTCAAGCCTTGATACGTTGGTGAGGATCAGATGACGTAGCGGTAGGTCACGTATTGTCCGGCAACTTCGCTCTGCCGGGTGATCTTCACCACCTGCCCACGCTTCATGCCGTAGTATCTTGCTACCGGATCCGTGAGCTGAATCCTGGGGAGCTGCATCGTAAGATAACTCCAAATCATCAGAAACTAGTCTGCCACTGTAGCAAAAGATTGGGGGGAAGTATCTGTGTTCTGTTTGTTAGAGGTACTGTGCTAGGGGTCAAGCTTCTTAACGAAACCGAGGTATCAAAACTTGATGGATGTGAAATGTGACCAATGCAAATTATGGGGCACTAACTGGTTTCAAAACAACAAACTCCTCAGATTATCATAGTCACCAACATATCAGGCCAGTACACTGATATACTTAATTTTATCCTAGAAAGCATTTAAAACAGTACAAATTACAAAATATGTTGCTAAACCTTGTCAGTTGATCACCCACAGATCCACCATACATACGCAGACATATTGCACATATACATAGGACCCATTCACTACTCCCTCCGTATCAAAATATAAGACGTTTTTTGACATTGTCATAGTACTTATGAACTTCTACCGAAAAAGGCTTTCCCCCCGCTTTATATATAAAGCAACGATCGACGACATACAGACTGCAAACCACCCGACACCACACACACACACACACACACACACACACCCAAGGTAGATACAAGGGGGCTGACGAACAACAACACTAGTCCAAATGCCCCAAAGCAGACAACTAGTAGACAGATAGAGCATACCTAAGGATCAAAGGAGCTCTCCACCGTGAACGAGTCACCATGAGGAGACGAAGCCGAAACTCGACTAACCAAGGACTCCAAAGCGGTGCTTCCAGGAAAGAAACAACACTGTAGAGCCGCCACCGCCCGATCCACTGAATCGAGGTTTTCACCCGGAGTAACACGAAGGACGCAGGGCCACCGTAATGGAGCCTTCAAGGGAACAACGCATGGACGCCACCGCGATCTGTCTGGCCAGAGCCAAACGAGGTTTCAAACCGGCCACCACCCTCCGCCTCTGCCTGGCGTACGGCCCTACCCAAGAGCGCCGACCGCACCACCACCGTAGATCATCGAGAGCCCGCCCCCATGCATGCCGCCCACTCGACCATAACAGCGAGCCCGTCAACACCCGAGCCACGAGCTCCGCCAACGAGCCCGCAGCTCCCGCCACCAAGGCCGCCCTGGAGACCATCAAAGGAACGGGCTTTGAGTCGACCGGCAGGCCCCTAGCACCAACAGCACCGCCGGTGACCGTCCCGCCATGAACGGTCTGCAGCGAGGAGGTACTAGGCCTGGAAAAGGGGAGGGGGGAGCGGAGCTCGTTCGAACCGGCACACCCCTGCGCCGGTCACAGGTAGTTGGGCTACCCGTCCCTCAAGCAGCCTCCCATGAGTCACCACTGACAC